CTGCCCACACCCATGCAAAGTGATAAGGGATATGTTACTAAGAATTAAACTGTAAAGTCATTTAAATGGCTGTATCACTGGTGTTTACTGGACCAAATGAAGACGTGTTAGGTCATGGCAAACATTACTTTACAGTAGATTTCTGAAAATGTTTTCCTTAAGAAATATGAAAGGTTCGAGGGCATCTCATTCCTAGGCCTAAACATATTATATTACCGCCAAAGGCCGTGCTGCAACGTTGAAATCGTGCCAAACGGTCGCTGATTGTATAAAAGACGAGTCTGGGCATGTTTTGGGGTTGAAGTTGAAACCCAGCTGGAAAAAAAACGTCCTGGTGGCACATGGAATGCGTGTGTTTTATCATGTCTAACAGCGCAAGTGAATTGTCACCACTGACATTTCAACGTAGCGTTAAAATATGTATATACGTGTTACGATATTGTTTTGCCCAAAGCTACGTGGGTGCAAAATGTATTCAATCGGACAAATAAATGAAAATGCTTCAACAATCTTGTGCATTTTTTGTTTGCACTCTAAGAATTCTAGTATTTACAATTACACGCGAACGCTTCGCAGCACGCATTCAAGCTTCGACACGGTCCAACGCCTGTGATTGGACGACAGGCGGCTGCCCGGGACAGCTGTCACAGGCAGCCAATTGCGTCGCGCGTTGTTGGCCGGTGCGCTGGTTCGCCGGTCGGGTTGCAGGTTGGAAAAAGGGGAAGCAGCTGGCGGAGGCTGCGTCTGCGGTGTGAAGCAATGAACCCCAGGGACAATGTCGAGACGGGAGAGACGGAGAACCTCTCGGAGCTGTGCTGTGTGCCCATACCGACAGAAGTTTCGTACACACAGGAGCAGGACGTGCTGTCGGGAGTCGTCAAAAACGTCCACAGGAAACTGCGCAGGAAATACAGAGAGGGTAAGTAGCCTCTTTGGGTTCCTGTGTCTATGGCTATTAACCCAGTCGTTAATCCTCCAGGTTTTGCTTGGAAATACCAAATTAACAATGGCTGCAAAACATTCTTGTCACAGCAAAACCGGTAGAGGGAAATACATGCGCTGAGTGTTGTTCATACTGTTGGCTAACGGTTTTTTTTTTAGGGGGGTTTGGCTAGCTGAAGTGGGGAAGACAGCAGTCGACAGCAGCGAGGGCTTCTTTGAGCACACAGGGCCTTTAAAGCCTTTAAAGGGCCTTTTAATGCATTTAAATAGTTGTTATTGCATGCGTGAACATGCGTCTTTAAACGCGTCCTGTCTGTCTTCCTAACAGACTTTAATAGGTTACTAATGAGAGACAATGGAGCAACTTATCAGTTGACAGCGACTCTGTATTGCTTCTCTGTTGCCAGCAAGAGATAGCTGTGTGTTGAGAGCAAACACTTTTACAACCGGATTGTTTTGACCCCTTTGTGGATGGCTGCAAATTTAGAAATAATGCGGTAAATCAGGATGTTTTTGTTCTGATCAGGAGATGGAAAGCACCAGAGATCCAGTGGTGGGTTTGATTTCCACAGGAAAAGGAAACAAAAGTAATTTTGAGGCTGTTTTTTTGTTAAACGGTGCGATGAGTCATGGACGGCTGAGGAGGAGGCCGGCGCTTTGCTCCGGTTTAGTGATTGCACTTGTGCAGAAAATCTGCAACTCTGTTGGTGCATCTGCTTACTGATGTAAAGCTCTGTCCACCTTGGGTATTCACAATCTGATGCATCGAACGGAGGGCTTGCTGAGTGAAAAGTATGTTTTTATTAGATTTTTCCTCCAACCAGCACCACGTCCTTGAAATCTTGAGCAATAGCTGTCTTGGCTCACTCAAAGCTTTCTTTAAACATTGCTTCCTTTTTCAGCCCAGTCATTATACCAGGCAGTTTTCAGGGAAATGCATTTGTTTATTTGTTTAGCCACTTAACACTCAACAGCAACCCGTTTATATACATCTGTAAAACTATTTTTCCATCAGCTGTCTTGTCTAAACTTAAAAAAAATAGTTGGGCCACCTTAAAAAACACAATTCAAACCAGATTAATGTGTCTGAAAAGAAAGTTCCATCAGAGACATGGGGGGGGGGGTGCATCTGGGCCTTCCTGTTTAACCATCTTCTGCTCACCGAGGCCTAATCACGAAGGGTTTTTTTTTCAGAATATTGCTTTAACTGTCTATCCTGAGAACAAAAACAGGAACTGTGGAAAAACCCTCTTTCTCACATCTTACGCAGCATTTGGTTTCACAGTTCTGACGTGGGGCGCCTCTCCATGTTAAAAGCCCAAAACTGTAATGCAGGCATCACTGCTGTCAGTGTTTTTCTAACTGTGTTTCGTCGGTTTTTTTTTCTTTTCTCGAGTTTGATTGCGGCTGCGTGAACGCCTGACTGAGCTCTTCATTTTGGGCCTCGTTCTCTGGCATCATATGATAAATGTTGGCTAGGACCCAGGTTTATGTCAAACACTAGATAAGCATCCCAGTGTTTTTAAAATCGACTTTGACTGTTTTTGTGGGGGGTTTTTCTCGTATTGAATCAGGTAATAGTCAGCACGGGAGAGGCTGGTTGCTTTGGTGACGAGAATAGCTGAGAGAAGTCTGCCGAAAGCAGACCTCATGATTGGTTAATAAGTGAGGCATGATGGGGAAGGCTTGGCATTGAAACGCGGCGGTCATGCTTTCAGGAGCACGGCTGTTTACCACCACTGCCCCTGTTGTCCTTTCATTTCTGCAAATCAGATAGAGAGTTTTTCCGTCTGGTCATGGGATTTCTCCCCTATCAGCGAGTTTGCTTATGCCACTCTGGCATGGGAACTTGCAGGCCGAGTGGAAGCATCAAAGTGCCCACAGTGGTGTGAGTTTTTTCTTTTTTCTCTTTTCTTTTGGAGAAGTGTGATTTTGTTCTCAGGCTGAAGTGGACGTCCAAAGCTGGCAAGTAGGTTGAGAATTTAACAGATTTCAGAGTAGATGAAGGCGTGGGCATGCCGTTAGGTGGCTCAGGCCCCCTGATAAAGACTGAATTGTCGAGTCTGATTTGACTTTTTGGTGACTCCTGCCTTAATTCTGCCCATTCTGTGGCTCAGTGGGCGACTTCGACAAGATCTGGCGCGAGCACTGTGAGGATGAGCGGACGCTGAGCGAGTACGCCCTGGCCATGAAGAATCTCGCAGACAACCACTGGACCAAAAAGTGCGACGGGGAGGGCCGCATCGAATGGTGTCGCAGGTGCCAAACTTCTCCAAGTCTAATCAATCCCAACCGCCAGGACATATTTAGGACTCTTGTTTTTGTTGTTTTTTTTTCCCCCCCAGAAAATCTGATCAATGTTTTGGTTTTATTCCTCAGTGTCTCTCAAGAGTATTTTTTGGATGGGGGAATGAAAAGAATGCTGGAGAAGGATGAGAAAAGTGCCGCTCTCTCCATGGGTCCGACTGTAGGATCTGTAAGTGCCCAAGCATGCAGCACCATCCCCAGGTGGGTTGAAAATAAGTCTGTCTGTCTGTCTGTCTGTCTGTCTGTCTGTCTGTCTGTCTGTC